ATAATATATGTAAATGGTAAGTTATATTACTTGCATATAGGAGTTTGCGAAAATTCTATCAACGCGTCTGAATGAATTTGTAAAATGAGAAATTTTGAATGTACGTATTTAAATACCAAAATACATTTGAACATATTAACGCAATATTATATCGCGAACAGTAACACCTAACTCGAATAAGAAACGGATATAATACTTTTATCGTAATGTAAGAATAAGGATAAAATAGTTCTTATAAAGATGTGAAAGAAAGGAAAATAAAACTAATATAAAATAAAATGAAATTAATAGTATTTAAAAAGAGACGAGATGAGACAAAGTTAATCTCGGAAAAAAAAAACGATCATTGAAACATAGCCGTTCGTACCTAATATTACATATTAAGAGACCAGATCGTGTCATTCGTTAAAAATAAAAAAAAACCCCTAAGAAAAAATGAGATTATAAATTAAAGAAAAAAGAAGCAGAAAATAAAGATCGTGCAGAAGTCTCTTCGAATCGGACAATACGTTTTTTTTCTTTTTTTTCGTACTTTTAATGTCCGAGCTTGATATATACATATATATATATAATACGTAAAAAATATTTACGTATACGTTCCGTACATGAGCGCTCCGTCGTTATTTTATCTCGTTTATGTAATAAACCCAAAAAAAAAAAATAAGAGTAACAGTGGAAAAGTGGAAAAAAAAGAAAGAAAAAGAACGACTGGGCGCGATCAAAAATAAATGGGGTTCCAAACGAATCTTTATCATAGGTGAGAGAGACGATGTGTTGCGCTAGAAACTCTAGTTAGCTTAACCATTTAAGATGTAATCTGTGAAAAAAAAAAAAAAAATAATGAAAAGGAAAAAAAAAAAAGCAAGAAGGAACGATAACCTAAGTGTGTAAAAAAGAAAATCAAATGGAAACAATTTTTTCTTGTTTTATTATTTATTATATTATAATACCCCTCCCAAAAACAAAAACGATCCAGCATAATAATAATCATTGTTACAGTTTAGAAAAACAAGAAGAACAAAAAAAATGGAAATTTATAGAAACGTATAACAGGCACGTGTAATAAAATATGCCGTAGTACGCCATTTTAATTGCTATAAATGTATAAAATTGAACTATATCAATTATATATGTATTGATAAAAAAGAAAAAAATGAAAAAAAGAACAGGAGGAAAGAAAATATGTCAGATAAGTTATATTTTTCGTATATAATAATCTTACNCTCTCTCTCTCTCTCTCTCTCTCTCTCTCTCTCTCTCTCTCGCTTTGTCCATCAATTTTTTTTTGTCATCGTTTTAAAATCCGTCGAGATAAACTACACGTAAATCGATTCGATCGTTAAAAGTAGTACCGGTTTTTCGAAACTTTTTAACAGACCATTTCCAATTGTATTTGTTCATGAAAAGAAGAGGAAGGGTTGGGCTGAAGTGAAGGGAAAAGGGAAAGGGAAGGGGACAAAATATTCTAACTCTTGCTCTTTTTATAAAATAAAATAATAACACGTATATATATATATATATATATATATATATACGCGAACGTTGTTTCATTTTTTTATTCTTTGTACAATTAAATAAATTCATCTCTGTAATACGTTAAATCGTAATTATTACATTTAATGATTATTGTTTCTCTTTTTTTTTCTTTTATTCTACTTCAACGAATATGTGTTGGGGGGGTTTTAATTAAATTGGTTTTTTCTTTCTCTAAATCTTTTTAATCTTTTCTTATAAATTTGTAATTAAATATCAAACGAATGATGCGTCATATCATGTTTTGTTTTTTTTTTTTTTACTTTAGACGCGTAAACGCATTGGATTCGTTGAATGCATGTATGCAAGTGCGTTTGACTAAAAATAGGTATCTCCAGGTGATAGAACACACATGGAATTGTTGAACATGATGTTAAGAAAAAAAAAAGTAAGGAACAAAGTTATAAAAATAATGGGAACAAAGTCGCGAGTAAAAGTCTCAGAAGAATAAGAAGAATAAGTTCGTTGGATGAGTTAGAAAGAAAAAAAGAAAGAGAGAGAGAGAGAGAGAGAGAGTGAAAGAGAAAAAAGAAAAATGGATTAGGAAAGAAGGCTCGATGCTAAAAGTATATCGAGTTCTGTTTGCGTGAATAAATCAAAACCCTAACCCCGGGTAGGGTACTCGGTAAAAAAGACGAGTAGGTAAATAATTCGATAAGCTCTTTTTCTTCTCCTGTTTCTTCTTCTTCTTCTTCTTCTTCTTTCTCATTTGTTCTTATTTTTCTTCTTATTTTACCTATTAAAAAAACAACTCTCCTCGTGTACACATTAATTTACATTTTTAATCTCTCACCTTTTCCATTCCATATTTCTTGATAAAATCTACGGGGATGGGCGAGTAATTGTTAAACAAAATGACAATTACTATAATCGAGAACTATGCGAGTGGATGAAAACACAAAGGTCCTTCGTTTTTCCATGCACGCGTGAATGTAATAAATAAAAAGTTACATTCAAATCAGATATTCTATTCGTTATGATAATTGATTTTATAATGAAAATATTAAATAATTTAATAATATAATAATTACATTTAAACATAAAATATTATATAATTTAATAATATTTTTTCCAATAAAAGGATTCACACATTTTTGGAAGCACACAGTTTCTTCAATTTTCAGACATTCAAATGATGGAGTTTTTCATATTGAAAAAACATAAAAACATGAAAAATGTTTC